CATTCATCTTCCCAAGCTGGCCCTGGAGATGAGCTGGGAGAGGCAAATTCAGGTTCTCCAGGGACCAAGGCAGAGCTAGCCGTATCCATGGCAACGGTGCAAGGGAAGGGGCAGCTGGGCCTGTGCAAGGGGAGCAGCAGCCTGGCGGGCGAGGGGCAGGTCACGGTGGGGGGGGGAGAACCGGGGGCTCAGCTTGTGTGTCTGGCAAGGGCCCACCTTGCTCCCAAGAGACTCACATAGCCAACTGGATACTCGCTGCCGCCCTCTGAAAATGGCTGTTCGGAAAGAGAAAAGGCAACAACGGGATTCAGGGTCACTGCAAGTCCCAGGGGCCATTCCCCTGGCCCGGCCGGCCTGCTGGCCCAGGCACTGGCACAGGCCCCTTGGGCCTTCAGAGCTCCTCGTTCTCATGGCCTCCTCGCGGCTCTCAGAGCTGGCCCTGTGAACATGCAGATTCCTAGGCCCTGTCTCAGGCACATGGAATCAGACTCTGGTGGCGGCCCAGATATCTGCATTTTTAATAAGCTCCTCGGGTGGGAGTGACAGCCAGCTGCTATGTCTGGGCCCCACAGCGCCAAGTCTCTAAGTGACTCACCTCCTGGCCATTGCTCCTCCGCATTGACCAACCCCACACCCAGGACAGACTTCTGTCCAGGGTTCTCTGGCCCCTTCGCTAGTCAGCTTCTCTTCCCTCACCCCACTCATGTCTGACACCTCGATGGAACTTGGCCATAACTTCAGTGACAGGGCTTGTCTGGGGCAGGAGGGGGTCCCGGGCCTGTCCAGGGGTCAGAGGAAGTCAGAGGCCAGTGCCACCCAGGCCTTGGCCCCATGGAAACTTACGTTGATGTTCAGGAATCCAACAGCCTTGACCAGGATGTCACCAAATATGCCCAGGGTGTCCACACGGGACAGCGGGAGGCGGTAGCGGTAGCGGAGGAAGTGTTTTCCGTTCACACTCACCTGGAGACGCAGGGGCTGCCTCAGCGCAGCTCGTGGTCGCTGAGCTCCTGCCAGGCACCTGTGAGCACTCCTGCCTGCAAATGTCCCCATTCGCCTCCATCCCAACTCTATGGAGCAGGTACATTTTGCAGACGGGTGCCCGAGGCCTGGAGAACCCACGTGCCCTTCCTGAGGTGGCAGAGCTGGCAGATGGCAGAACTGGCCTTGGACCCAAGGCACCTTCCAACGCTCCCCTCTGGCCCTGACACAGCGCTTCCCCACGTGGTCCCTCTCTGCAGACCTGCCAGAAGCCGGCCATCACCACAACCGGTCCATGGGGGAGGAAACCGAGGCCCAGGAGGCTGCGTGGATCCCTCTCCCATGGCCTCTCCCTCCACTGCCAACCCCCCCCCCTTGTCCTTCTGGCAGGAGGTCCCATCAGCAGGGAAAGCCTTGGGGTCACGTCCTCTCTCCCTGCCCCCTGCCCCTGCCCCCTCAGCTGTGGGGTGGGGAAAACGAGGCACCTTCCTCATGGGCTGTTCGGAGGATTCCATGAGCTGAAATTTAGGGGCTTAGAACAGTGCCGGGCACATAGCGGGCACTCTAGACATACTGTGACCGCGGTGGTGGCACCCTCCCCAGGGCCAGGCGCCAGAGAGCTGTCTTGCTGCCAGGTATATCAGGCCTCTCGGGCCCAGGGCGACATGGAACTGGGCTTGGCAGCTCCTCGGTCCTCTCTGCACTTGACCCCTCCCCCATTCCCTTTCACACAGTGACATGGGGACTCAACAGAAGGAAGGAGGGGCGGAAGGACCAAGTTCTAGAGGCCCGGATAGCCATTCGCTCACCTTCATCTCCTCATTTCCAAAGAGAAAGAGGGTGAGGAAGCTGGCTCCCCTCTGCAGGGCCAGGCGGGGCCACCGGGCCTCGGCCTGCCAGCGCCCCTGGTGCAGGGTGTTGCAGATGACGTGGGGCTGGGTGGTGTGGAAGCGCGGGTTGAAGTGGATGGCGATGTCTGGCCGGGGGTGCAGGCTGCAGCCGCACTGGAAGTCCACCTGGAACCTGGGGGAGGGGAGGCTCTGAAGGGCACCTCTGTCAGAGGCCCCCAGAGGCCCCGCAGGCAGAGGGGAGCCCCCAGCTGGAGCCGCTGGGGCTGAGCCCAGCACCCCCGGAGCATTGCCCTCACCTGCGCGCGTGGAGCGGGACCACTCCCTGCAGCATGACCATCTTCCCTGCGCGTAAGCCACCAAAAATTGTTGTGACATAAGGAACCACCTGGACAAGGGGAGAAACCCATCCTTACATGGCTGGAGGAAAGGCCAAGGGACCCCTATGTCAGAGGGGTGGGGAGGGAAGGAGAGCAAGAAAACTCGATTCTCCCGCCCCAAACAGAAAATGTCCTGTGGGGAAAATTTGTTTTCTCTGAAATGTGGTCTTCTACCTATTCCCCTTTCTTGGACCCTCACATGTCAAAGCCACATTGCCCTGGGGAAGCCAAATTCAGCTCTGCCACCTGCTGGAGCCCAGCCCAGCCCCTCTCCCCAGCTCCTAGGGCACAGTAGTGTCCCCAGTGAGGCTCGCTGCCCCCTGGATGCCACCCTGGCTTCCAGAAGCCTGTTATCGAGGCTTCCTGAGGACTGGTGACTGGCCAGGGCCTGGGAACTGGGATACAGAAGGATGGACAAGTTGGGACCTGAGCGCGGACCCTGATGTGGAAGCTTGGAGAGATACTGACAATGGCCTAGAAGCTGCCTGGCATTCTTAAAACACAACGCACACTTTTACAGCTCGCTGCCTTCCCTGGGGCTGTTTCCTCCGCTATCCCTACACCCTGGGAAATCCAACTTGACTTTCGAGGCTCCTGACACCTTCTCCGACACCCACCGACAAAGTCTCAAGCACCATACCCCTTGGTGCCTGAATTGTTTCTCCCCTCCCCTTGCTCCAGAACACTTTGCTGGTCTGGCTGGCTTGGCCCTTGGCCGGCTGCCTTGCAGGGTGACACGTGGCTGGCTGTCTACACTGGGAGGCACAGCCCCTAAGAGCTGAAGCCCCACCCCGCCCTTCTATAGGCTCAGTGCCCAGCCTGGCACAGTGTGGGTTCTGAACAGGTGTTTGCAGAACAAACGTGAAGGTGCAGCAGGTAAACACTGGGCAGTGTCACTGGACCAGCCTTTACGTGGTCTTCTCCCACCCCCAGCAGACTTCAGAAGCCCAAGTCACCCAGAAAGAGCTGAGACCCCACAGCTCTGCCTTCCAGATGGGAGCTTCCAGCCTGAAAAGCAGGGAGGGGCTGTAACCTGGGCAACCCCTTTACCCCCTTACTCAGGCACCGGGAGGTGTGGGAGATTCGGACAGCCAGAGCACCTGCAGCCCCCTGGGCTCAGCTCCTCAGGCCCTCACTTCCCAGGCTCCGGGCCTGGCCTGTAAGGAGCTGAGCTGCTGCAGCTCTGGTGAGAGAGGGCCAAGTAAAGAGAAAGCGATAATTAATGCTCCTCAGAGGGAGGGTGGAGTCCGCTGGGAGCTTAGCTTCTGTAAAGCATGGCCAGGTTTCAGCAAATTTGCATGGATACTGAGCAGGAGTAGAAAGCGAGGAAGCCCCCACCCCATCCCTGAGTCGAAGGTTCCCACCTGACTCCCTGCTAGGTGCTCGGTGTCCCCCCAACAGACTTCCCACTTCCCCCAGTCCCTCCTATTGTAGGGGCACAGCACTGTCTCCAGGCTCTACTACTTTTAAAATGCAAGGACCCTGTGAGCTCAGCAGACATTCACACCCAAGTGAGAATTAGCTGGTCAGCACTTTGCTAAACTCAGGAGGACCTTTTCAGAGCTCGGGGGCAGATACTGTGGAAGCCAGGCCCAAGACAGGGTCTTTCCATCCCACCATCTGGGAGCCTGGCCCCAGCTGGAACAGAGATGCCCTGAGCCCTGGGAGGTTCCAAATCTGAGTGGCTGCTCACCGGGTGGAAGACTGGTGGCTGCAGGATGAAGGTGTCTGGAAGAGGGTCCAGTTTTTCTCCTGGTGACATGGGGGTGGGGCGCCTCCAACTCCAGCTGCTGATCCTGATTCCAGGAGCCCTGCTCACACTGGTGACTCACCTTTCCCAGCTGGGATCCTAAGTGCCTGGGGCAGCTTTTGCAGCTGTTAATACTAATGCTGCTTGGAGCCGGCCTGGGGGGGGGTCAGCAGTCCACCCCTGGTGCCACACTCCAGCTCTAGTCCCACCGCCTGGACTGGGGCTATTAGCAGAAATCTGTGTCCAAGGGTAGGAAACTTGCACTAACTAACCAACCAACTAACTGCCCCTCTGGGTCTGAAGCACAGGGCCAGCTGTCACAGAGAGGGGTGCAGAGGCTGGCTCCTTGGGGCCAGGGAAGGTCTGTGGTTTCCAGGGCTGCCTGCCCTCTGAGGCCTCCCTGGTCAGAGGCAGGGGTGGTGGCCCCGCCCCCAGCTTCCTGGACACCTTTGACTGGCTTCCAGTTCCCTCCTCCCCT